AGGAATGAAATTGGTCCAATCAAGATAACTGTCTCTATTTTCTTGCTTGTGTACAGCAGCACAGCTGCATCTTTCAAAAAATTAACTACTAAATGGAATGAAGAAAACCTTCAGAGAGAATCCCAAAGGGAATCCTAACTCCCAAACCACTTTCCAGTGCCATCAGACATCTTGGTGGCCAGAGAGGAGAACTCAGGCTAGATCACAAGTTGTCATAAACCAATATTTTTTCATAAACCTTTTATTAAGTAAAAGTGACTTTTCAGTGCTATTGTTAATGATATGTTCTCTCCTAAGGTTTTCATGATGAAGGAACCTCTCTGCAGAAGCAGCTCAGAAAAGCCACCTTTCCAGAAGCAGGAGCTCTTCTGAACAGAACAGTTCAAGACACCAAGGAAAGCTTATGATTCTTTTGCCAACCTGTCATTATGAGGATTGGACAGAGAAATAACTCATCTATTTAATTTTACTCCTACAGAAAACAGTTACAGGCAAAACAAGAGGTGACATTATTCTTTCAACACCTCATTGGGATTTTAACAGTATGCAACATGGGTCTATAGGGATGAAATTATTATGAAAATGTTGGTCCTAGGTGTCTTGACTAAGGTAATATTGTCATTCTGTAGAAAACCCAGAGCTTGAAACTTAATCTCCCATCTTTCCCGAACACACATCAGTTGCTAAGGCCTGAGAAACCAGGTATTCCAGACCCTCTAAATGGTTCTAATTACAAAGAATAGAATACAGAGAATTGCTGTGTGCTGTAGCATCAGCTATTATATGATTGCAATTTGGTGAAGTTGAGATGCTTATTAAATTTTCTAACCCAAAAGCAATTCAAAACTGACCCTTGCACAGCAAGCTTTTATGAATGAAAACTATCTTTGCAGTCTCTTACGGTGGAGGCAGAACAGGGGTAATGAACACATAGGGGGTTTCAATGTTATTTCTCAGATAAGGAAAATCTATATTTCACTTCAAGACTTCCCAGTAATTCCAATGAAGATTGCTGAGAGTGAATCGAAAACCTCCAACTGCACCCATGGCAGAGATAAAAACAGTGCAGTCCTGCAGTACTAGATACCTAGCTCCCTTCAGAGGCTGGGATTTGGGAGAGTGTTAGAGCAAACAATACATGTGGAAGACTCTTTCAGGACAACATGCTGCAGACGTTAAAATTAAATTCTAGTATATTTTCTGCCTGTCACTTTTCAAGCTTTAGAAGTAAACCCTGCTGTGCAGGAAAGAATTTTTTTCTATTTGGTAGAAGTTATCATTTGATATTTTCTTAGTTTTGCTCAACTTCTTCACTTCTTTGTTAATTTGTGCTCGGAAATCCATAATAATTTATATTTATGAAGCCCAACATCTTAGAAATTGTAACAGACACGCCTCAACTTTTCAAAAAAGTCAAACCTCATGACCTCAAATATTTAAGTATAATCTTTTAAAATAAGATATTTGAAAACACAAAAACTCCCAAGGATTCTGAATGACTATTCAGGAACTGACGTTCATACTGACTTTATGCATTGCATGGCCACACCAAAATACTAAAGGAAAAGAACAGAGATTAAATTAAGAGATGTTAAAAAATGGCTTGTGTGAAAGAAAATGATAGTGAATATCTTGGTATATTTATTTTAAAAACTAACTAACTAAATCTTTTCATGCCTAATATTAGAAAACATTGAAGATGTGGAGAGCTTTTGGGACTTGCCATTTAGATAAAAGGTAACAGAAAGCACATGAAACAAAACTAAGTTATCTGCAGCAGCACAATGGCAAAGGCTTTTGTCATGAACTCAAAACCTCAGAAATTTAATGATCCTGTTTTAACGCATACTTGCTTCTAAGGTATTCCCTGTTCCTTGAAGCAGCTCTTGCTAGCTATCTAACCTTGAAAAGCCCCTTTTCTGAGAATTTTTAGCTTTCAAGCAGCCAACTTTAGTAACTCCAGCATCATCATTAGAAAAAATCTACATGAGTTAGTTAATAATTCCATTATAATGCAGAGTTTGCCTAATACTTATATTCACCATATTATACGCACGCACATTTATTTTGCTTCTTTTAAATAGTTTGCCGAGCACTATGCACGGCAGTAGGCAAGGCTACAACCTTCACTGAGCGGGCTGCTACCGTCAGCTGGGTGCAACAATATTCTCACCACAATTCAGACGGGAAATGTCAGTCTGTTTTACCAGCTGGCTTACTGTGAACTGCAGAGTGACTGCCACAGATAGTGCATTGTGGATAAGCTGGAGGTATGCTTTACTGAATGTAATGAACTGGTCCATCCCTTTGAACTCTTCACCTCAAGTAGGCAGCAAGAGATTAGTAAGGGATGGCATAGGATGAAACAAGCAGTAGGCCAACACACATATTGATTGCTCCTATTGATTGCTCACACAAAATTTCATGTCCAAAGATGCACAGCCTTGTGCAATCATCTGCATGCCAAGCACATCAGAGTTAACCTCCCCACCGTAGAACCATCCTGGGGTCCTCAGGCATGGGGGCTCATAATGATGAGCATCTCTGCTAATATATATGTGCTTTCCTGCTGGCTAAAAAGGAAGAAACTTAAAACTCAACTGCACTCTCTTTCCTCCAATAGCCAGACAATGCACTAAAGAAAGAGAGGAAAGAAAGCTTAGCCTGGCATTTTGCTTCTTTCTTGTCCCTAACTGCTCTGGCATGACAACAAGTTTAAGCATACAGATTCTTCTCTGGCCAGTGCTCTTTCTAGGTGGAACTGAGCACTTGTTTTTGATGGAAGCAAAAGATTTCAAGATTTCTTGTATCTGGACCTCCCAGAAGGGCAGACGGTAAGACAACAGGACTTATATCATTTTAACTTGTCAGCTTACATTCTTGCTTTGTAGGTGGCTTCTGAACTCTCTCCTACAAGTTATTCTTATCAGTTTTCTCTTTCAGTCACCTTGTGATTACCATATAAGAAATAATATTTTCTCCTGCTCAGCAGAAGTAAACAAGTTAATTAAAAAAAAAAACGGGAAATGACCTTCAAATACCGCTTTTACACACAAAGCTCACATGTCACCATTATTGGCAGTAGAATGAAAACTCGTGATTATAGGAAAAAAAAATTCAAAAAGCTACTCAAGCACGCTAACACACAGTATCTCCATAGAAGTCTGATAAAGTCAGAGATAAAACAATTTTCTGTTTCCACTGTATCCTTTTTATGTTCCACCTTCATTCAGCAGTTTTTTAAGCAAATTCCTTGCAGTTTTAAGAAATACTGCAAATGTACTATTTGGCATTAATGCCTTCTCAAAGTCACTTATAATCTGGATTTGCCGGAAAAGGATTCATTTCCCAATATAAGCATAGCATAAATGAAGGTAGTAATATATTTCAATGACTGTAGGCAAAAATCATTCCTAAATCAAACACGAGGGGGCAAGCATAAAAGCTAATTTTAATGAATTTATTTTCTCAGGCTCCCTCTCTAATCTATGGAGGGAAAGAAATTCTTTTGAATATTGGTTCAAAATGGCTAAATCAAGTTTCTTCTGTGAATCATATGCAAAAGGAACCTCTCCATCTCTACTGCTTTGAAAAGCAACCAGGGGATATTAGTTCAAAGGCTAATTTAAGATAAAGGTTAATTTTTCCAGGCCAAAGTTATTTGGAGAATGTCCACTGATGAATTAGTACTAGTTTGTGAAAAGCAGGACACTGTGACCTACTGAGTTATTCCCACTTCATCTTTTTCCTGAGTTCAATGGAAAAAGACTGTTGTTTGGTAGAAAATACTTATTTTTGTCAAAGTACAGATCTGCATTTTTCTTTCTAGCAGAAAGAGGTATTTGATTTACTAATGTTTGTGTAAGGATTTATATCAGACTTCCTTTATGCATTGCACACTGCATGTGTTTGTCAGTTGCAGGTTTCATCTGTATCTAACATGTAACATTATCTTTAATAGCATGATTAAAGTACAATAATAACGCATAAAAGAGAGACTTTAAAGCGTTACATTCTTCTAATATAGCTGTTCCAAGATATGGCTTTACAAACACTGGCTAGTTCTAAAGAAGAGCAAAATGTATTATCCTTCAAATATTTGATATCATATCCTAACAGATAACCTAGGAGAGGGTGATGGAATAGATTGGTGAATCTCAGCTTCTGTCGATCAATGAATCGCTGAAGTTTTAAACTGGTGGGACATGTTTCCACGAAGTGAATACAAATCCATTGATAATTGCTGCACTTCTTTAGTTACCCTTCCTAAAACTCTTCATAGTAGTTCCCAGATTTCATAAGCCTGTAGATCACAAGCTGCAAACCTTGCATCACTGCAAAGTACCAAGATGTAAAGCATGGAGTAAAGGGTTAGCAAATGAAAGTTACTGTTACAGTTTCTTTGTTTTATAAAATAACATAAATCTCCTTTCCCGTTGCTTCATGGACTTCCACCAGACCTAATTTCTGCCCTACAGGAACTTCACCTTTCAAAAATGCAAAGGACAAGGTAGGAGGAACATTTCTTCCAGAAAATGTTCTGTTCCAGGAAACATGAAACTGGTTGAATCAGTCTGCTATCCTGTTTTTCTTGCTCTAGATTTGTATAAACCTGAACAATCTGCAGCAGAGCAAGTTGCTAATTGCATCTTGGTGGAAAGTTTGCTGTTATGACCACCCTGGATTAACTGATAAGACTTTGCTTCTAGTGACAACAGGCGTGTTCTTATATAAACTAGGAAGTAGGACAAAGGAAGCACTGATCTTTGCTTAGACTCTTAGGATCACTTTTAGCCTAAGAGCAACTCTTCCAACATTTATTTTGCTTTTAAATACAGAGGTTTAGTACTCATACATGTGCCTGTGTTGTAAAAAGGTGAACAGATTAAGTATTTTGAATATAAAAAAGCTTTGATGTTGAGTCATCCATTTATTTCTTTCAGGAGAAAAAAAAGTCAAAATTACCTAATCAAATGGTATCAAACTTTTCAGATTCCTATATGTTGTGGCTCCCCAGGGACCAGAGGTTCCATTTCTGGAAATGCTTGAGAGAACGGTAGACATATCTCAATGCTGGTATTAATTACTGCTGGGAAAAGGATACAATTTCCAGGGTGCATATCAAAGAAAAACAGTCAACATCTCCTACACATCTGTTTTCTGTGGCCTGCAACATTACAGCATCACGTATGAAAAACCAGAAAAGTAGCATGCTTGTCTATATGGCACTATACATGGACAAAGATCTCCCAAACCACTGAATCAGTCTAATTCCTGATGTTCAAAAAATTTCTGAATCCTCCTATTGCTGTCTTAAAATTACCACATTAAGAAGCAACTGCAAAAAGAAAAAAAAAAAAAAGGGAAAAAAATATTAACAAGATTTAGCTCTCAGACTTAAATCATAATAAACTTGCCTAAAGACAAAAGATTTACGCTAGGATAAATGAGAGCAGAATTTAGTCTAATTCTCTTCCTAGTGACAGCTAGATAACTCACAGTGTCTCAAATGTGTTGAAGAATGGCTCAAAGCCTCATGAAAGGTAGAGCGAACCTAGCACAACTAGCTGAAAGGATAATTACCTCCCAAGAAGCCACTGATTTGGTTTCTCTCCCAGTTTACAGAAGAGTAAATCACAAGTAACAGTCTGGGAATTAACAAAGCAGTAAAGATAGAGAAGAATCAAATCCCATGAATTCAGACCTGACGAGCTGATGATCAAAGGATTCAAGAAGCAAAACTCCCCCTGCCCAGGCACACACAGCTTGGTCGTGCCAGCAAAGGGACCCAACAGGAATCCCCATCACTGCAGCCCCTTCTGTTCATCCTTACAGCCAAAGTGAGGGTTAACCTGTGCACCAAGGCTATCCACGGTACAGGAAAGGATCTTGTGCTTATGAACTCACCCAGCTGGATTGTGACAAATTCCAAATACTGTTGGTGTTACGGATTATTTGTATGAGAGAAATGAATAAATACCCAGCTGAGATCAGGCCTGTTGAACTACGTATAATACATGTGTGCTTGCAGAGGGTATGAGATGAACTCTCCATAAGAGGGTTTACAATTTAGATAAATCAGGTTAAGAATGCGGAGTATTTAGGAATTAGGAGGAGAGAGTCAAGTGATTTACTCGGGCCAAAGCACACCTTAGGCAAACCTAGAGTACAGCAGACCTGTTGTCGCCTTCCCACCCAGAACACGACTTTGCCTTTAGCCCTTCCAATCAGTCCTGTGATCCCATAAGACCCTCAGGAGCCTTTTCTTACAAGTCTCTGACAGCACCTTACTGTGTTTCGGGGCAGTACTTCCTATACAAAACCAATGTGTATGCCCTGCAGAGACAGCCTTATAAATAAGCGGTGCATAGTACCCCACCTGAAGATATTGTGTTGCCCAAGCTGGCATATTTCTGGAAATCCCAAGTAATTACACAAAATCTTTAAAGTCTGTATGAATAAAATTCCTGGTTTGAAAAAACAGGTCTATATCTGGCTCTTTCAAGACAGGCTCAAAGTCTTATTTCATAAGTATATGCGAACCCCTGAATTTCACGTGTCTCTCTGGATCTGCCAAGACTCTGCAGCTGTTTCTGACAACTGATGTCTATACATACAGCAGTGTATTCTATTAAAAAAAACCTGCATTAAAAAGAACATTAAAGTGAAAACTCAGGATTCATGAGTTAGGAAATGCAAGGATTAAGGTTGCCCACAGAGTTTTTGGTCAGCTCCTTTTTGTGAGACTGCCTTATGTTGTGCCTTTAAGTCACGACACCTCTCACAGTGGAGTTCAAGGTTGCCTTAGGGTGAATAAAGCCTATCTACTTCAGATTTGAAGAATATGGGTTTTATTTACTTCTTACTGCTCAACTTAGAACACTAAAATTATAAATGAAGCCAGGTAAATTCATCTGTTAGGTTGTTCAATTGCTGAGAGGCAAATTTATTTATTGGGTAATTTTATTGCCCAGAGGTTATTTACCGCAACTGATGATATACAATACATTCTGCACACGCACACAGAGCAAAAGCTTAAGTAGAGATGCTCTATTATTAGATTTCTTACCTCTGAGTTGACCAAAGCAGCATCGGTACGTGGTCCACTGACAGAGACATTTTGAACAGCACAGCGAAGGTGCACAACAGCGGGGCTGGAGCAGCAGAGTAGAGCTGCGTCATGACTCCAGGCAAGCGCGTACGTAACTGGCCAGCTGCACAGGAAAGTCCGAGTGTATGCACAGCTGCACTTTCCGGTTCAGTTGCAGCTACCGGATTCAGCCAGGCTGCTGGGTGAGGTTGCTCTGTAACGACAGTGGGAATTTTCAAAACATGGACTTCTTATCTTGAAGTTGGGGGTTATACGTACTTTTAATAACTTTCTGGTTTGTGATTTAAGCAGCTCATAAAACTCTCCACAGTATAAGCATAGACAGATTCCTCTAACGTTCTAGTACAAGGGAGAGTCGTGAAGTCCAAACTCCTGTCCTACTCTTTTCTAACTCCCTGATAACTGCAGGCTGATAACAGAATTGCTCAACTTCAAAATGGAGTTTATAGAAAACTTTTCTGCACTGCACAAAATGTATTCCGCAGAACTTCTAACTTCTTCCCCTGCTACATATTATAATGTCCCTCAGCTTAGTTCTTTCACATGTATTGAGAGCTGGTGTCACACATTTGGGTGTTGACAGGTTTGAAATCTGCAGTAAATCTATCCATTGCAGATTCCAGCAAGAAGGAAGAGAGTGAGAAAATGGTACATTTGGAGTGTATCCACTGAAACATGGAATTGTTCAGCTGTCTTTTGCATGGAGCGATGCTGTCCCAAAAATCAAAAATATCAAAAGTCAGGAGCAAATTATAATCACTTCAGAACCTGACATGACTTCAGTATTTCACAAGTCTCATGCAAGATCAAAATAGTCATATAGAATTTCTTCATGCTGGGAAGCAAATTCCTCCAGCATACTTTTTTGCTCCTGCCAAGCACTGAGCTGTTTCTACACCTTGTGACTACATTAGGCAGCAGCAGTCACTTGGCACATGTTTCGCACAGGGCACAGATGCCTCTTCACGATCAGAACAAGTTGTTAGGGATAATACACAAAAAACGTTGTTAGCTGTGTTAAAACAAGTTGTGATAAGGGAAAAATAAGGAAGCACAATGAAAATTGTAAGAGAAGATAGAAACAGATGTCAGAAAACATGCACTTTGGAATCTGAGCACATGTAGCTTGATTAATGAAATCCATTTGCCTTAACTCACAGCATACTCTTACAGTGCTGTTGTCTAATATAAGGCAATTTGTTCATCACTTCAATCTGAAATCAGATTTCTGAGACAAAAATAATAATTTTGGGGGAAGCAATAAAACCAATCATCTACATGTTCCTTTTCTTCTCCGTGTTACCTGTACATAACACTGAGGCTAACCCTTTAACTGCACTTTTCCCTGTTCTCCTCAGAGATATTTTATAACTCCTTAATTTCCCTTTTCACAAGCAGGTGTTTGTTCGTCTGTTTAAGAGAGCATACAGGTAAGACAGCAATTTGGAGCACAAAGACAGGGGTAGAACTGGAACACCCTAGAGAGAATTTAGAATGAATTGGAATAGTTCGGTCAACACAAGCAAAATACTTTGTACTTCTAGAAGTGGTTGACATTTCCATGGTGTCTTCCAGAACATGAGAGATCTGGTTTCTCACATAACTGTCCAGACTAGTCTTGCCAGGTTTTGTGTGCATCTCCTGCCCACAAAGCCAATCAACTCCAACTTTTCCTGTCTGCTTCTTACAGTTAACCTTCATGTAAGAAATGAAGACAAATTGAAGGTCAGCATTATATAAATCAAGAGTGCACAATGTCGTTGCCCACAGAAGACTAAGGGAATCACAGAATTTCCAGCAAAACTTTCAATTTTGCAGAACCTCCTAGATTTGCATTGCAGTTGGCAGTCTAGAGAAATAGTGCATTACTACTTCTACACTTTCTTTTATTCCACTAAGCCCATGCCTTCTCAGACTGTGACTCCTTTCATTCTTTACCCTGCACAATGCAGAGATCCTCGCTTTGCAAAACAGAGCAAGAAAGCAGCATGTCTTACTATTCTTCTAATATGAACCAATGAAGTTCTAGTGGGTCTCCTCCACAGTTGATAAATATGACCAACACTGCCAGGACTTCCACATCAGAGTTAATCCTCAACAATTTGATCTGAATGTATGGAAATCAAGACCAACAAATATATAGCATTGTACAAATATGTGTTGTAACCCGACAGGAACCTCACCACAAGAGCAAATGATTCATTACTAAATATTTGACAATTCCATACTTTTCTAATGGGTGACTAGTGTTCAAGTCTATTATCACAGAGTGTTTTCATAGGGCTAAAGCATTTACACCATTTCAAAAATTTCACTGCTAGCATGTGAAACTTCTTTTACAAGTCCACACTCAAAGGCTGACACTCTGGATGATCCCTGGCTTCTTGATTCTGAAATGGTTGACTTACAGTAGGTTAATGAAAACAAAAGCTAATACAAGGGAGAAAATTATGAAAGAAAGGTATATTGTCCTTGTCCCTTTCCAGCTGGTAATATCTCAGAAACTGATTATCCTTTGGTTTGAGCTGGATCTTTTGGAGGGCATTTGCACACGCTAACCAAATCACAAACAAGTGAGATGGAGCACAGCTGGTGGGTATACTCTCCGTATTCTGCCTTATAGAAACAATCAACAATCTTAAAACTTTTTGAAACAAAATCATATTGTTTTCTCTCAGATTACCATATTACTTATGAACAAACTTTTAACTGAAAACAAACTGAATTTTCCTTTTTAATATTTCTCCACAAACCACAATTTGGGAACAACTGAAGTGAAGAAAGCCTTGAAAAACAGGAATGAGAACCCATTGACTGGGATTTTAATTTGCCTCCCTCAGTAAATTTGGCTCACAAATGCATCTGCATATATTTGCTCCTTTTTCTTTTTTTTCTTCACTCCTAAAAATAAAGATTTCTTGCCAAACTATAAGAAAAAAATATATATACTGCAAAGAGATTGCAGTGGTTCTTTTATCTGTGAGCAGAAACCTAAAAACACTTTTGATTGATGTCTGTCGGTATACACAAAAGCACACACAGTTTACTGCTGCATTTTCCATAGGGCTTTTTCCTTGGAAAACACAGGTGATCTTGAGTCCAGGTTTAGAACTGCTTGCACATGAAGATTTTTTTAAATCCAACACAAATTCAAAATACTGGAACTCAGGCTACTGTGAAATCATTATGAAACTGCAATGAAGAAAAAAATACCTCCATTACCATGTATCTCCACTTAACTAAAATAATTTTATTAAGAGAAGCTATAATATTGACATACCGTTATTTACATTCTACTCCTACTCATTTCTCTGGATTTATACATGCTTTTTTTTTTACAATTGTATGCATATCACATATCCCATGTATTTCCTATCCTGTCAAAGTTGAAATATGAGACTCACAAAAATAATGGTGAGAAAAGACCAAGATCGTGGAGGCTTAATTTCTTTTGCTTATGAATCCTTTTTCTAAAAAATATAAGAAAAAAATCCTCTCAGCTTCAGAATTCTACATTCCTGATGTAAAAAAATTTTGAATAAAAAGAAGTGTGAATACCAAATTTGTGTGGGATGAAGGTAAATTTAGGACTGTAAGTCAGGCTAAAAGGATGACTGTTGTAACAAAGACAATCTACAGTGCAAGATAAGCCAAAAAACCCTATCTATAGACAGGTGACACAAATAAGTGCCATCCACTTTGCATGTGAATGTGATCCTTGAGTGATAGGTTTGGGAGCTAATATGGTACTACAACAGCATATTAAAGAACGTTTTCCTCCAGCTCAGATAATAGACATATTCAGATTTATCTCTTTTAAAAGACAAATAATAATTAAAAGAATCCAAGATTTGGAATATTTTTTCATCTCAGTTTCCTATTAAAGAAGTGTTTTCCACATGCCAAATATTGGTCAGCAACTACTTTGCTACCCTCACATATTTAATTTATTATTCTTACTTTTTACAATGATTTTATGATCTAAGAAGGGAATTAATGCTTTGTTCATTGAGACATCTTTTCGGGACAAGGAGGTGGAGGGAGCGATTGAGTTCTTCTTCTTTTGAGACATAAACAGGGAAATTTACATCCTGGAAAAAGCATGGACTTTCCCCTTGGGAGCGGGGAGGAAAAATGCATGTTCTTCTTTGCCAAATTAACATATTACCTGCTTGTGCATGTGGGAAGAAAGCCAGAACTTTTCCCTCTGGAAATGGATAACCAGTGGTGTTGGAGGTGGGTAGAAGGCAAATTTTGCTTCATGCTTGAAGAGTCCTGTTCACAAAAGAGTCCTGTGCGGTAAGCTGCAGGTGTTAATTGGCCTCGTGTCTCTGCTAGCGCAGAAGGAGAAATACAAGCCATACGGACCGATCCTCTTTTCCTGATAGCGATCAGGATCTACATCTGGGAAAGAACTGAGGCAAACCCAGCATTTCTCACCAGTGTTTCAGGACTGTGGACTCCTCACAGTCTCAACCTCTAAGCTATGATTTCAGAGACTTTATAAGCCTATCACTTTAACCACTTCTCAGAAATGATGAGAGAAGGTTAGAATTTCATCTTACAGTCTATTCTCCTTTGAAGACGCATTGGCACTTTGCAATCATTTGTTCTCATTATCCAGGAAAGATCTAAGCTACAAAGCAGAGGCTTTTTTTACCAATAGATTCCAAAACCATCTTGTGAGTAACTCTGAAACTCAAGCAAAGATGATCAGCTGCACTTTTAAAGAATTTACTCAGTTCTAATAGAAACTAGCAGATCTGACCCTTTATCTGAATGGTTTTCTTTTCCTGATGAAATGCAATGACTAATCCTAGAAATATAATATCTTTAATCTGACTTTGATCTTTTCAGTCAGCTTTCCCGGTATTTGCCACTGCCTGATACAGAGAATTCTTTCATTCTTTATATTTGTCCAGTACCTATTTAATATCCTTTGTAAGCTACATAAGCAACACAATAACTATTAGAGAAAAGTTTTAAATTAATTTCTTTTCAAAATGCAATACAATTACAAATGCTATGGACAAAAAGGGGAAAAAAAATAATTGGTTTTAAATTCAGTAACAATATCAACAAAACATATATGATGATCAAAGTAGCAGTTAAAGAAAACTAACATGAAACATTTAATACTAATTTCAATTATGCTAGGTTTAAAAAAAAATTGTTACCCTATTTTTGAATTATGTTGGCTTTACTTGGCTTTGCCCTAACAAAAGAATTCAATTAGATATCCAAAATATTGAAAATACTTTTTCCATTTTTCAAAAACTCTCTTTCAATACATCATGTCCTCCAAAACATTCAACTTCTATGCTTTGAAAGGCTGTTTTTGGGCAATGACTTGAAGGAAGACATTAGTTTTCGCTTCATGCAGGTAGTCACTTGTTTTGTGGACAGCCATGTCCCAGATATGTCAACTATCTGATTCACAATAATTGCAAGACAAATTTTTAACTATTTACACAAGAGCTTTCACAGTGTGATGAACTGGCACTGCCATTGTCAGGGGCCACCTTCTGGATAAACCAAAAAAATTTTGTGTGTGAGCAGTTCTCTAGCAGGCCAAAACACTTGCTTGAGAATACTGAACTGAATATAGAATCTAGAACTCTTCAAGCATACATCTGTAATACTGCATCAGTTTTCAGCCCCTCAAATCAAGAAGGGCTTTGATAAACTGGAGCAAGTTCAATAGAGGTCCACCAGGAAGTTCAGGGGGCAGAAGCACTTGACATGCAAAAGGCGGCTGAGGGAACTGGGCTTGTTCAGCCTGGAGAAAAGAAGGTTTGGGGAAAACCTGACAGCAGCTTTCCAAAACTTAAAAAGAGATTATCAAGAAGATGGAGCCAGGCTCTTTACAGGTGTGCATGGTAAGAGAATGAGAGGCAATATACTCTATTGAAAGGAAAAACTTTTTCTAAGATGAGGACAGTCAAGCACTAGAACATGTTGCCACTACAGGCTATGCATTCTCCATCCTTGAGAATTTTCAAGACCTGAATGGATAAAGCCTTGAGCAATTCAGTCTGACCTTACAGGTGACCATGCTTTGAGTAGGAGGTGGACTCTTGAGGTCCCTTCGAACCCAAATTATTCTATGATTCTGTACATTCCAAAAATCTCCAACACTACACAGCACTGAAATCAATGGACTACTGGCTTTTCACATTTGTTTGAACTATTTCCTTACTGTTTATTTAAATCATCCATCTGGGGTTGTAATTTACATTATTTAAAAGCTGTTTAAAAAGAAAGGCAAGAAAATTATAAAAAGTAGGTTACTATCTATATGATTCATGTTTCCCTTCTTGCCCTTCAACTCATAATTTTCTTCAAAAATCCTTTTATCACTCTGGAAAAAGCTCAATCTTAGCAGCCATTGCTATCGTAAGACTCAAATCCTGGAAAGCACGTAAGTCAACCAGAATGCTCATGTGCTTCACTTCTGCAATTCTACAATTAGTTCAGCACTGAACTAAAAATCCAGAATCTGAATTTAATGGTAAAATCAACAGAAAGACTTCCACTGTTCGAATGCACTGGTCAGTTGGGTTCTGGTTCTACAGTTCATGTTCTGTTGAGGGAGTCAATTCTGTTTCCAGCTGTTTGCTGCTAAATATATGCTTATTTCTGTTTGTAAATGCTACTGCTTTTTCCTAGACAGTTTTATTTGCCAGAGTAAAAGGCTTTGTCCTCAGTCAAAACCAAGTCTTAGAATAGTGTTTTCAAGCAGAACTTTGCAACTTTCTGTAGGACTTTATTGAATGTACACCGTATCGTATTTTTTCTCTGTAACTATAATCAAACATAAAACATAACTAAATAAGTTTATGGAGACAATTGACTTCTACTTTAAATAACACAAGCTCCTCAAAGAACAAACATGTTCCAAACAGTCTGCATGGTGTATTTCAAATTATAAGTCTGACTTACAATAATTTCAAGATTTTAGATACAATAATTACATGCTGGCAGTTCCACTACGACTATCAAGATGAGCTATGAAAAGTAAAGTTATTCTTTTGCACAAATATTTGCAAGGCAAAGCAGCTATATTTGGAAGGGCACATCAACTCTACTGTTCTGTGGGAATTTAGAGTTTGAGGGGTTATCTGCCTTATATGGTTAAGATGAGAGAAATAAATTTAATGCAGTTTATAGTATTCTTCTAATTAGAAGATGACGAAGAATTAGCTTAATTCCCCTAACAGGAATATTACACTATAGACAGAACGTTCCAAGCAACACAGGCATCCACAGAAAGTGTACTGGGTTTGCATGGCAAGGTTTTGGTAGAAGGCACGTCTACAGGGGTGGCTTCTGCAAGAAGCTGCTAGAAGCTTCCTCCATGTCTGACAAAGCCAATGCCATCCGCCTCCAAGAGCGACCTGCTGCTGGCCATGACTGAGCCCATCAGCGATGAAGGGGAAAGAAACAAAACATGCTGCACAACAGCAGCCAGAGAAAGTGAGAATATGTAAGGAAAACAACGCTGCAGTCACCAAGGTCAGTGAAGGAGGAGGGGAAGGAGGTGCTCCAGGCACCAGAGCAGAGATTCCCCTGCAGCCCATGGTGAAGACCATGGTGAGGAAGGCTGTCCTCCTGCAGCCCATGGAGGTTAACGGTGGAGCAGATACCCACCTGCAGCCTGTGGAGAACCCCAGGCCAGAGCAGGGGGATGCCCGAAGGAGGCTGTGACCCTGTGGGAAGCCTGCACTGGAGCAGGTTTGCTGGCAGAACTTGTGACCTCGTGGGGGACCCACACTGGGGCAGTCTATTCCTGAAGCACTGCACCTTGTGGAAGGGACCCACGCTGGAGCAGTTCGTGAAGAACTGTAGCCTGTGGGAAGTACTCACGTTGGAGAAGTTAATGGAGGACTGTCTCCTGTAGGAGGGACCCCACGCTGGAGAGGGGAGGAGTGCAAGGAGTCCTCCCCCTGAGGAGGAAGAAGCGGCAGAGACCATGTGTGATGAACTGACCGCAACCCCCATTCCCATCCCCCTGCCCCGCCTGGGGGGAGGGCGTAGAGAATTTGGGAGTGAAGTTGAGCCTGGGAATAAGGGAGGGGAGGGGAGAAGGTGTTTTAAGATTTGTTTTTATTTATCATTATCCTTCTCTGATTTGATTGGTAACAAATTAAATTAATTTCTCGAAGTTGAGTCTGTTTTGCTCATGACAGTAATTGATGAGTGATCTCTCCCTGTCCTTATCTTGACCCACAATTTTTTTGTTATATTTTCTCTCCCCTATGCAGTTGAGGAGGTGGAGTGATAGAGCGGCTTTGGTGGGCACCTGGCAGCCAGCCAAGGTCAACCCACCACAGAAAGACGGTCATTGCTCTAAAAATTTAGAATTTACAAAGCTCATCAACAACATTTTTCTGTTTAAATAATGAGGTTACAAAACATGAAATGCAGTTATATTGACTGGTCAAGATCAAATTATTTTATCCTCAGAAGTTTATTTTGATATGTGTAATACAATTAAGGTATTCATGAAAAAGGACATTTCTTTAAAACAAAGGAAATTGTATTAATCAATAATTCAGTTAACTTCTTTAACTTCAGTTAACTTCACCTAAGACTTATGGTTTTGTACCAGTAGCAATAGGCGTAGCTATTAAAAATTCATTCGCATTAGCCTGATTGTCACTCCTATGCAAAAATGATGCCATTGTTGGAATCTGAGCAAAGTAGCTTTTTGCCCGGATATGCTTATGTTTCATTCTGTGAATAAATGCCGCTTCATAAGCCTGAAAAGAAAAAAAAATCCAAATCCCATTAAATAAAATTATAGTATCTAGCAATCTACATGTTGCTTCATATTTTAGACAGTATAAATAGTGACCCTTTAATAAACTAAGTCAGATAATTTATTCATATATAATACATAATGAAATATTTTGTAGTTCTATACTGCTACCTTATGGCCCAATAGTGAAAATTACTAACCACTCCTTGTGAAATATTAGTCACCTTTTAAAAACAGAAGAACTTCTGGCACTTTTTTATCTGTTGAAGATAAAACTTATTCATTTCTTTTCAGATAAGAACATTTGTACTTTACCTTTGAAAATTAAAAAAGGCAATGCTTAAATATCAACATTTGCAAGGTGATGACTATGGGAAATTTCCTTGATAAGAATCAGAGTGATTACTTACAAATAATCATGGCAGCAAGCATTTTACAGCACTTCAGTCAGCCTTTGCGTTCAGTGGTGACATTTTCCTAAATTTCTAGTGATTAGTAGTAGTTCTGGTGATGTAATAAATAACCAGAATATTTAGTTGAAAAAACCTTTTGCTATGACTATAGTCATCGTTATGAATAATTGCTATTAAAGAAAGTGCTTGAGAGGCCTTTTTTGTTTCAGTCAATGAGAAATAATGATTGAACTTATGACATTCTAACATTGCCTCACTTTACTTATTTCACACTCATTTTTTTTTTTTAAATACAGCTTTGGCGATGACCAGCGAAGAAAGGTGTCTACTCACTATAGCTGGCCTGCTTCTATTTTTGTAGCAAGAGCTAAGTGAAAATACCTTATGATTTTTACGTAGGCCTGCATACCTTACCTGTTGCTCTTCTGGCCTAACTCCCACCTCCACTGAAGCTCTGGACCTAATCAAGTCAATTGGCATCTCTTTGGCTATGACATCCAGACTTACGAAGTTAAACCAGATAAGTGCATAATCAGAATCTTTGCCTTCCTTAATGCTAGTAACAAAAATTTAATGGATGCAGAGAAGTATCACTAGATTCAGACTGCCTGAACGGCCTTGTTGACTGAAAGTGAGACAGGAGTCAATAAAGGCATTTCCAGCTTGAAATTGATTTTACCTTTTAAAGACAACACACATAAACATGTGTCTGCTTGAAGACAAAATTTGGGCACATACACAAAAAATATCATGGACGGCAGAATTCCTTTTACCTTCAGAATTCCCTAATATATTTCATGCCCAAAGCAAACCTTTCATTAAGAGAGCAATTCATTTGCTCTGTCAGTTTAGTTATCACATACTCTCAAGATGTCCAACAAGAAGGGCAATGAGTAACAGCTGAAGTTGCATTTGTGATGCATACATATTGTGTTAGAAATTGAATTAAGAACACCCTGAACAAAAGGACACTATACAACAATGACCTCAGATCACTACTTACATAAATCAATAACCTAGAGGTGAAAGGCTTAATAATCCATTACTAATTGCAGGACAAACACAACTCACAGGATTTTCTCGTGCCTTAGAAAACTAAATACCATATAATGTCCAGTGGAGTGAGATATTTACCAGACTACCATGTTTAGACATGGAATTTGGGGGGAGTGGTGTAAAAATACACAGTTTCAATGACTTCTTTAACAAATTCTTAAGTTTTTTCAACTCAGAACAGCAATTAGGTTTTTATTGCTTAATTACAAACTATAAGATTACATTGTCAAGGGTACTTAAAAGATGTCTATGTAAGAAAGTAAATTGGGACAAATTTTATCATGACAAATGGTTAAGTTCTAGACAAAGAGCCATTCTGTTATTTAGTGAGAAATTTATAAGGCCAGAAACTAACGAGGCCAGAGCATGTGCAAGAACACAGGCACACAATTGTCACAGTATTTATGGTTGGTCCTTAGTATGTTTTTCATCCAGGACAGCTCTTGTCTGATCTCAGCTGAGGAAAGAGCACAGGCATGGCACTGTTCTCAGTAAGCAGCATGGATGAGGCCACTTAGCTTCTTGCATTTTGGGAGGAAGAATCTGGGCAAGACCGAGTTCAGGTACATGGATGTGAGCTGTACTATGTCAGCTGCCCTCTGGATTAATGCCTGTTTTATTTAATAGTACAGATGCAATCATTTAAATAGTCACAATGGGCCAACCTAAACATGGACGAGTGCAAGGACTAAATTTGGCCAAATATCATTAGTCACGGGATTCTATTAAAACATAATCTAAATAACGTAAAAAATTAAGCCCATCAAATTTTACCTCCTGAAGGTTACACAGCCTAAGATGTGCATCTGCCTCATCTTTAGTGAGGAGAATAGTGTTCCATGGAGACCACTCATGTTGCTTATCCCATCTGACCATAACCAAATCATAGAGGTTACTGCAGGCACTGAGAGCTGACTGACAGCCCCATATATTCTCAATCATGTACTGCAGATCTTGATGCTGAAATGGAAAACAGGGTTAAGAAGGAAGAAGCATGTTCCATTCTACAGAAAAAGCATTGTAACCATATAAGAATCCAAATAAAGCTTTGAGTAAAAAATTTTTTCTATGTATATGTCATATAATCACTTGGTTAGAGAATGTCTAGACATACACATCTTCCTTTAGCATGGTGTGGCAATTATCAACTGCATTTTTCTTGTATCATATCTAAAATATGACATTCTTACTTCGATTGTCTCTGCCAATGGCAATTCATATCTTCCACTGACATCCTGATTGCTTAATTGCTCTTGTAAAGCTGCTTAAATCTCATGGTTTTTCTCATGCAGCATGCTTAAGCCTGTTCAGATCTTTCTGGTTAATAACAATAATCCATCTCTGTCATTACTGAGATGACTTCACCATTTCATTCTTTGGTTCAGAATTAATGTTATTCAATAAATGAGTTATTACACTACTAAATTACTTAAAGTTTACATATAATCAGAATAATTTGGCCTGGAAAATGTGGGAAATTAGGACAAGAAAAACTCCCACCTGTGACAGACCCCAAATCACTGCCTGCTTTGCTTTCTTCCCCTCACTCTGCTGTTGACATATGAAGAGTTTATTGTGCTCATGATACTCTTGTTCATTTTACCAAATGAGATTATAAAATCAGGTAGCTATGCTACAATATTAACAAACATTAATAGAAGGTCTGTTTGTAAAGGTTCTCTAGTACAGAAAGGCCTTTAATTGTACTTTTAACCTATGTCTAAGGGTAATTCACATCAATCTTAATTTAACTTATTGCTAGCCATCTGAAATCACTACTAAATCTTGATAAAAACAGCCTCTTGAACGGGGGGGGAAAAAAAAAAAAAAAAAGGGACAGCAGTTACCAGTGAACTTTGGCAAGTTTTTCTGTCACCCTCCATTAATTCTTCTCTGTATTAGTAATGGAAAACTATGAGAAGATTTTTATCTACAGGAATCTGTAAACAACGGACTTTTAAATAGGTTTTCCTCCAAGCTAGCCATTTGAAGAAGACTCATTCTTCTAAAAAGAAATCTTGACTTAATTAATTAAATAATGGTGCTTATATCTTACTTATTAAATTCCTGACAAAGAATGAATGAAACTGTACCAACACAGTGCTTTAGTGAAATGTAGCCTCATGTATTCTCATCCATCCTGCTTCCAAAATCCAGGAGCCCATGTAAATTCATGCCAGGCAAAATGTAAGATAAAAGCTGGGCTTAGAACCTCCACTGGTAATAAATCTGTGCCTACAGATTCCAGGAACATAGAACTGCTCCTACATCTGGTCTTAAATCTGGTCCTACAGGGCCTCCTTTATTAGGTTTCACTAATTGGCTTCTGTTTTCCGTTTTTCCTCCTTTTCACAAAACTTCAAATAACTTCTGTATCTTCTTCTTAGAAGCCAGAAATTTGCAGGGAGACATATTAGCAAGTACTACTATTTGCGTGCTAAGCTACACATCTCAAAAGCTACCAGATCTTGCAAAAATCTATACTGAGGCATATAAGGGTCTATGTAAAACAGATCCATAATTTGACTCTTCCTTTTTCCTGGATTACAATTTTTTGTCTGCCTGAAAATAGGCAAAAGCTTGTTCTTTGTTAAAACTTCTCAGGTTATGGGGAAGAGTTTGATTTAAGAGACTTCTGCACTTTCTAAAGGTAGGCATGCATTTTGCTGTAAAGTTTTACAGCTAATTCATTTCAAATGATGCTTCCCTCTCACCTCCCTAATAATTTGTTCTGTGCTCAAAAGAAACAGAAATGGCCTTCAGCACTGTCATCTGACAGGTTGGGAGCAAGTATCACTGAAGGCTCAGCAGCTGAGACTGGGAAAAGAGTGTAGGCAGCAAACTGGTAAAGGAGTTTAGCGTATTTGTAACTTCAGATGAATATGACATTCCCATTAGGACATTGCTCATCAAGAAAAATCAAAGCCATAGTATGTACTATTGGTTCTAAGGAGCATGGCATAGTTAAACCCTCTGAAAGAACAAAGGGCAACTTCAGGACTTGACACATTTGCTGAACTAGTTCATTTTGATACCAAAAAGATCTTTAGCTGCAGTAAGAAGTAGTTAGTGGAGCTACCGTAACTCTCACCAACTGCTTTTTGCCTTTTAAACCTTAGCAGCACTCATAGAGGTGGTCAACCCAAACACAATTAAAATCAGTATGCAAGAGATCTGAAGAAAAATCTTTTATCTTCTCACAAATGTCTTGCATCTATCCACAGACAATACAATCTAAGCCAGTAATGGTGCTGCACTGGGCAATGAATGAAGCTGTCATAGCTACTGCAAAAGATTTCTAGTTGTGCCCAAGTCATTTCTAGATGCCTTAGAGCTGTTTTCTGGATATAAGTGGAGTAAGGGACAGACGGTTGTTGGGAAGGGAAGGAAAAAAAGCAAGTAGCACAGAAAAAAATTATTAATTTAAGGAAATATTAGGAAAAAAACAAGGAAATTAGCGATTTAAGATACAAACCTGTTGTATAGATATTTACAACTCTAAAGAGAAGAACTTGAAATTAATTTGGATGAAAATGACGCAGTATCTAGAGATGTTGCAGTGGTACAACCACAAACGGAACTGCAAGTGAGGGCTTTCGATGTCAGCAGTTAAGAAGCAGTCATGTTTCAGTGCATCAATGGCCACCAGCCATCACAAGCTATGTGACATGATGTGAGAGAGGTCCAAAAGATTTTGGAGGATGTTTACAGATTAAGATAAACTAAGTTAGACACAGACAAAAAAACTTTTCAGCTTAAGTGAAAACCAATATGGATGAACAACATCTACAAAATCTAGGTTCTTTGATAATATTTCTTAACACAGCCCTGATAATTCAAGAATCCCAATCTTCCTTTTGGCAGCTGCCATTAGCAAAGTGCTAAACCACAGCATGGCTTGTTTTGGTAGTGGTGGGATATTGATGACTGGCTTTTGTTTGCTTGGTTGTTGTTTCAGACATACTGAAAATACAGTTCAAAACCTGTTCTATGAATGTTGATGCTGTAGAGATTTTTATTACTAAATCTCAGACAGTTCAAATAAATCTCGGCTGTTCAATATTTTCAATAAATAACACTTTGCAATTACCTCAGATTTAAAACTTTCTCAGTGGATACTGGATGTCAAATTCTTTTGTTGACAAAATAACTAATAACAACTAAAACAGAGAATTTGCTGAAGACAGAGACAAGAAGTTCTTTGAACTGAGTTGTTCCAGTAATGATTATTAAGAAACACTAGCTACTTAGTAATATTGCAAAAGATTACAGATGATGGTAAAAAATTTGAAAATTAAAATATTTAGTGAATCCCTCTCCTAATAAATGCAAACCAACTATACAGATATTCTACTGACATAGAACAGGAATGTCAAAACCTCAGCTTCTTTATTTTTTTACTTCTGAGAACATGAAACAATTTAGTTGTATTACTAAAACAGTCCAAATAATGGGGCTTAAAATGTTTTACTAGCATTATGTCTTGAACAATATTATAGTCACAAAAACATTATTGTTGCTTTACAGATGGTGCCAGTATCTTTAAGCAACAGGATGGCCGTAGCAGAACCAGAAAAAGAATTTGGATCATCTGATTCCTTGACCTGTCAGCTAGACTTCTAGCTTCTTTTAATGCATAGCTTGTAACTACTTCTGAAAGTGCAGCTATAATTCAAGGGCTTAAGTGCTTCTTCTTTATGGTATGGAACATCCCATATCACAGAACGAAGTTTTTGTAGCTTTTAACCTATTTCTCCACCTGTCAACAACATACACAAAATAAAAGATAAATTACAGTCAAAGACACTGGTTTCCATTATTAGCAATGTTCTTTCAGGCAGTACCTGAACTAAGAAAACAATTTTAGCACCATCCTGATAATCAGCTTCAGACTTTCTGAGATTTTCTAGTATAAGTTTGTACTTCAAAAATGCTTCTTGTCGCCGAGCCTCATTATCAAGCTTGCAACACAAGCGACATCTGCCAACGGTGTGGGAATTAGCAGGAACAGGAAACTCGGTGGATGGCAAGTAATTTTCGCAACTATGACAGAAGTTAACATTTTTATAAAGCTTTAAGGGATCTGGTGGAACCTAAAAGATTAAAAAAAAAAAAGAGTTAATTTACCACAAAGTATCTTTGTATTACTTGTGTGTCACCCTAACTCTATCGGAATACATTTTACATATATTCATGCAAGTATTCTGATATGTAAAAGCCAGTAATATTTATTTTAAAATACCCAATAGGGTTTATTTTTTTAAAAAATGGAAGACCAAAAGCCATTCTATTTTCTTACTGTACTTGTTAAAATCAGTTACACAAATCAGTCAATTAAATTTTAAGCTATATAAAGATCCTAGACATTATGCTCCAGTGGTCTTGCTGGTGCTTTTATGTATGCAGATTGTCAGCCACTCTGGAAAGATGACAATACAGAGAAAAGAGAAACTAATTCTCCTGCATTTAATTTTTCATATTGAATCTGCCCTTTATGTCAAAGATAAAACCCTGACACTATGGGCATATTAATATTTTGGCATAGGAATATAAAATCATCATAGCCACATGTCCAAAAGCAATATAGGGGAAGATAATAAACTAAACTTGCTAATGACATTCCCACCCTCATACTGCTTCATGGGTTCTGGAAAGAATTTAATGTAGTCTGTGCAGAAGGCCCAAGTCTGTAATTAGATAGTTTGAATAGTCTGATAGTCCAGCTACCTATTGTGGTCATCTGCCTTTTTTTGAAATTACCCTGAGGATTTGGTCACCTTGACTGCCTGTTGATGAATTGCCATCTTTTTTACAGTCTACAGAAGGTTACAAGATTCAAATACAGATATAGGTGCAATTCAGCCTTCAACTCAAGGTATAGGTTAACCAAAAGCTACAGATCTCCCATCTCCAGTCTCTGCTACGACCCATCTAAGTAGCCCTATTCATAAACCCAGTGTAAAATAACTGCTGGTTGGTTCTAAATCCCACTAACATTTACTGACAGATTCTCTGCTCCTGAGATACCATCAACCACTGTAAGAGGAATCCTCTTCTGATAGATGCAGAATACATGTTGCTACCTAAGGCAGCAACATATGATAGTGAATCATATTGTTAATTGTAATCTGTAGTCAGAAAAGAAAAACAATCACACAACTTGAGAGGTGTCTACCACTATCTCCATTTCATAGATATATCTGCTTCTCATGAAGTAGCAACTGGTTGTACAACAGAAGCTCGTAACAGCTCTTGCTTAGGTGCAAGCTCATTAAACATCACTTTGACAATGGCAACGTTCTTCCTTCCTGGACACATGGGATACTGCCTCTTGTCCAGTGGAGAAAAGATAATTGCTCTCTCTATTGGTTCCCCATTTGCTATTACAATTTACTGTTACCATCCCATAAGATATACCATTTACAATTATCAGACTTTTTTATTTCATACACAGTGTTCCTGGGCTCTCTCAGTGCTATCAGCCATTTGTCAGCTTCTTATACCCATGTCTATGCCCCATGCTTCATATATGACTATATAAGCTCATTTGCGTGAAGCCTGTGTACTTGCTACATTTTACTTCTTGAGGAACTCCTCCAGCAATTCAACAGCAAAATCTAAAATAAATAAAGCTTTCATTGTTTTCCATTCCCCTTGTCCACCATCCTTACTTCAATGGCCACTATGTCAGACTGCAAAATAGGAATAATACCTTAAGTATCCTAGCAACCTCAGGGTTAAACTTGGGAGTTTTAATATACTGAAGAAATAATGTACAAATTCTTTTCCTCAGTCCTTCTAAGTTGCATTCTTTCACCTCTCTTGACATAAGATCAACTTCCCTGTCAATTAATTCCACTATTTCCTGTGTTAATTTACATTCATGTTCCTGAAAGAAAACACAAAGGGAAAACAAACTCCACAACAATAAGGAATCAAACAAACAAAATAATTCTAACGCAGATATGAAAGCAAACTATAGATTCTTTGCCAATCATCGTTCATACCTCTGCATGTTCACATAAGAACACATTCATATAAGAACCCCTTAGTGTCTTAGGAAAACAACCTCCAAGAAAACTAATATAAAGAACTAAAAAACTGAGAATGCTTACAGATCCTGCTTTAAGAGGCCTGTATATATACCAAAGCTGTAAGGAACTGTAAACCTGGAGGCATTAAAAAATGCTAAGCAGAGGCACAGAACACATGCAAAGTTTTCAGTTTCCAAAAGCCCCAAGAAATATCTCACTAAGAAGCTTCCTTTGGCTATGTGAGAGGAGGTGTAATGTATATACATAGTAGATGGTTCAAAAAAAACCAAAACAAAACACCTGTATATATACCAAAGCTGTAAGGAACTGTAAACCTGGAGGCATTAAAAAATGCTAAGCAGAGGCACAGAACACATGCAAAGTTTTCAGTTTCCAAAAGCCCCAAGAAATATCTCACTAAGAAGCTTCCTTTGGCTATGTGAGAGGAGGTGTAATGTATATACATAGTAGATGGTTCAAAAAAAACCAAAACAAAACACCGCCCCCCCCCCCCCCAAAAAAACCCAAAAAACCAAAACAAAACAACCCCAACAAAAACAGTCAACCAAAAAGCCCACCGCACAAAAGGCATGGGCGACTTTATGAGTATGCTTGGAAATTAGTCATTTCAATATTTCAAATGCTTAGCAGGAGATTCTCCAGAGAGAGATAAGAGGTGAATGAGTTCAATGTTTTCTCACCTAAAAAAAGTGCCAATTTACAGAAATTCTATAATTTGTTTGCTACAGCAATATTGACTTGTATTAAGATGGGCAGGAGTTCACAAATCAGCAATGCTCACAATGCTATATTGGTTTTAGATCAAATTCTGGTACCACCAAAGCAAACAGCAAGATGTTCGTTTGTTTTAATAAGACCAGGAAGCAGCATTCTATTCTAGTTTGACATCAACAGTATCATCCTGAAAGTACCTTGAAACTCATATTATTCTTTTTGTACGCTAATAAATAAATAAATAAGAAAGACTAAAAAAAAATGCAGCCAGCTTCTAATTCACTGGGAACACTGGCAGCAGCAGTAGGGGTGGGAGTGAGGGGCAAAGGGGAAAAAAAAAAAATAATCAATATTTGCCAGCCATAAAACTGGTAACCCATACCAACAGAGAGATAAGATTCTAAACAGACATTTCAAAGAACTGAGAAAAAAAATAGCAATAGTCACTTACATCTCTGTCGTGGTCTTCATCAAGTTGTTATACACGTTAAGCTAAAATTTGTACTAAAATTGTATTATCTATTAATATATAAAAGAGTCTAAACCCATGGGGTTAAAATTCTAACACAACTTGAAGAAAAATGTGCACATCACACAGTGAAATATGACTTTAGAGTATATCTGGAATGTAAATTACAATCTCATGCCAGGTGGTACACTAGGCTTTCTCTTCCTGCCAGCTGATCATCCTGGCACCTGTTTGCCAGAAGAAGCATTGCTTACGTGTCAACATAATTAAGTCACTCTATCTTTGGGAAGTACAGCTTTAAGCTAAACATAAAGAGAAAAATAAAACATACCTTCACTGTACGTCTGAGTGTTAACAGCACATCTATTCTCTCATCTTTCGGGATGTCATTCATGCTAATGCTGCGGTAGATTTCAAATAGTTCTCTGGCACGGAGTGTGTACTGTGTATCCATTTCAGTGATTTTTCCATCACACGCTCTCCATCTCTTAGGTTGTGCACACTTCAGAAACAATTTGTATAACTCTGAGCTATTATAACCTGATCACCAGCTGAATAAGTACATTATGTTACATCAAGTTTCATCAGAGCAAATAGGGACTTAACACTGATGCCTGACTAATACAAAAGGCTAATTCTATTGCCGATATTTATACAGTACCTTTTCCACCAGAGCAAGTATTCAATTGCAAAGTATTCAATTGCACACTTTGTTTAAAGTTGCAGGTCATGAAAATTTTGACTTACGGTATATTAAAAGTAAATAATATTCTCCTACAGGGATATGCTCTACTTCTTTAAAATGAATTTACTGACAGTAGTGTTAGAATACATTTGCTCTGTATTTCATCTTGCAGTCATAAATCCCTCTAAACTATCAGTAAAAATCAATGGGACTGTTGACTGTGTAATGATTGCCAATTTAAGGCCTCAGAGTCTACTGCAGTACAAAACATCTCCAGGGGACTGTTCTATTTATGCTAGCTATACAGAGGGATAGAAAGCACAGACTTTGTTAAACCTGACTAAGGGAGAGCATGAGTTTACAGCTTATCAGATACTTCACGTAGCTTCTTGTTTGCTAACTTAACCATAGACCATACGCCTACTACTTCAATTGTCTCTTTGCACAACTTGAATGTCTATAGACAGTGAGAAGTTACATGGTGTAAGCTGTCACTCAGTTTGAAAGTCCTACCATTCTCCTCTTTCAAGAGGACTGGTTTTGGTTGCAAACCACACGGTTACATAGGGAGGTAGGTATCTAAATCCAATAGAAAGACAGTATTCAAAACCCTCTCCCCATCATTACCTAGCTCTGCTCCCTTTCCTTAATTGGGACAGCTATTTGGAACCTCATTCTGTGTATTAATTATTCTCTTTCACTGTATTTGGAACTTGAGTGTTCACAAAGAGTTGTGAACTTCACTTTGCAGTCTCAGTGTGAGTTAACTACAGCAACACTTCATGCAGTATTCTCATGCCTAGTAATTTTCTGGATATGACCCCAGCATTGACGTAATCATTATTTTGACAAAATATATGGCTTGCTATGGTGATAAGTCATAAAAATACCAAGAATATTAGATAGAACAGATATGATTAGTCACCATCACAATCAAAATAGAGCTTTCCTCACTTTTAAATAAAAAATCATAAAGTTAGGTAAGCAAAAGAAAGACAAAATAATTGAAAAAAGGATTTAACACTGAAACACTGACATTTAATTACATTATCAGTGGGGGTGAAACTCTGATTAAAGGAGGTATTGTTAATCAGAGGTCACAATTCAGAGCCAAAACTGATTAAGAAATGCAATAGCAAAACCAGACCTTAGTAAAAAATAAAACTCTTAGTTCCTTAGTGACATCTTTGAACTTCTGCAAAACTAGAAAGAGGCGATTTTCTCTCTGTCATAACAATGGAGCATTCGACTGTAACTTCATGACTTTGTTTCATTATCTTTGTACAGTACTAGAAATTCTAAAAAAAAAAAAAACCCAAAACAACCCAAACCCCAAGCAAACAACAAAAATAACCCCACCAACTTAGAAGCTATATCATGCTGTAACTCCTTTGTATGGTAGACTGGCAAAAATCACTGTTTTCCACAGAGTACTTAATTCAGTATCTACATTTGATCCTCTTTAATGAAATCAGTTATAATAAAAGACAGAAAGGTCATTTGCTTATGCTAGGGACAGTCAATGGGCACAGTTCACCCTAGAAAATGGTTATGAAAACTAGGTTCTTCTGATAAATTTGCAGCAACCCATATGTGAGCTAGCTGTCTTGGTATTCCTCTCTGGAAATGACCCTTAACACAGACCAACTATATTATGAAAATGTTTAAATTATTCAAAGCATGATATCATATCTGTAACTTCTGTAGTTTTTTCTTACTACTTCATCATAACTGGGTATTATATATAATTTTAAAAGAAATAAACTATGCAGCTTTTTCCTGAAAGAAAAAAAAATACAGAGGTCTCATCAATATGAAGATTTCCAGTATTTCAGAAAGAGTCACAAGCTCTCTGATTTCAGGACTATTTTCATGTATTCAAGATCGATGTGAGTAAACTCAAACTTCGAGATTTTTTGCCAGCTTTTTCTTGCTTTTTAGTCTGCTGGCAGTGCTGTGGAATTTACAATAATCCTGTTATCTGTATTACTTTAGAAAGCAAGACTACTATAATTGCACTCTGCTGCCGATGCACGAAAGCAGAAAAAAGCACCTGAGGAGAGAAACACACCACCACAGACACAAAGAGAAAAAGATTAGAAAAGTAAAAAAAAAAATCCTTAGGATGGGTGCAGAAATAGCACAAAGCATGAAGATATGAACTGAGCGACAGTTAATAATTAAACAAATTCCTTTAAGAAAATATGATTGCTGTATAAAAGCTTAATCAAGTACTTCCTCTTCCAAATACAAATGCTGAAGAAGAATGAGCTCAGCATAAAAAAGAACCCCCTAGAATGTAGTGCACACACAACCAGTAGCAACCATTTTAAAAGCACACATGCATGAGGAGGTACATGCTTAAAGTAGCAAAGAAGGGAACGAAGGTTTCCATGGAGAAGCAAGTATCATATCACATTGGCTACTGCAGCAAAGTGAAGTGTTTGCAGTCTTCAGATGTGAAAGGTGTTATTTCAGCTTTAACTGGCAAGTGTCCAGATTAACATTATCAGCTCAAAGTTCAAGAAATAACTGAATAATCTATAATCTAGCACTCCAATAATAAATTTCATACTACTGGTTAAAGTGTTTAAATTGCACTGTTAGAGTCATAACAAACCATCCATTTAATTTTAAGATTTCCAAAATTATTTTTTATTTATTTTATTTTTTAAGAAATACAGAAATTTTTACTTTCTTTACCTCTGACTTAGGCTGCTATCTATGTCAACAGTTTAGAACAACACTCAAAACCTTATAGCTGACATGATGAAAAAACACGAAAAGAAAAAGTTGCAGTAGTTCAGAAGCTCACTAGATTTTCAAATTAGAAAGAAACGAGTCTCTTTGATAAGAAACATAATTTACAAATTTAAAATATGAATAAATAAATTAGTAGTAAGTGCTTCAGAAACATGACCACTGTTTGGAAAGAGACAGCATCTCTTGTCTCTCGTGAGTCTCCTGAATCTCCAGACATCAACTGTCACTAAGAATTCTGGTACTGAAGAACATTTTGCTTCTGATTCCTAGATGTAAGAAAACTGTACAACTTGTGAGAATATATACTGGAAGTAATCTATATAGGGTAGGACATTGAAAAGCAGTCCTTAAAGGAAAAATAAAGATAGAGACTCAGTTAAGAGAGAAATATATTTGCTTTGACTGTTCCAGGCTTCTTTTTCTGAGAAGATAACAGAATAGATGGTAAATAGTAGAAGCAAACATTTAATAAAAAAATTATTCAAGGTTTTGATATCATCCCTAAATATTTAGTTTTCTGTTTTTTTGCACTCTTAAAAGCAATAAGAGAATACAGTCACATCACAGCAATAAACTTGGTAACAGTTCCACGAACATTTCAGATAAGTAATTTGTTCATAATGAAGAAAGGTAATAGAGTTTATTAAATAGCTTTTTACAGTCCAGTTCCCATGCATCACTAATAAAAAGAATGGAAAAAAGTCTCTTTTGGACAAAACTGCCTTTATTACTTTTCAGCATTAAATAGTCAAAATTATATATAAAAAAAAAAACCAGTTAGATAGTAAGAAAACTATTTTTGTTGCAGTATTTCTTTTCATAATTATGTCGCATACTATGAAAACAGCCAGAAAATAAACTATTTCTTTTTTCTGAGGGGATGGATTGCTGGGATGTCTACCTAAAAAGGACTTTGTTTTCGTATTTTACATTAAGGTGCCATTGAATCTAATGCCATTCTAAATCATCTTTGTGTGTGAATGAATTCTCACGTTTGTTTTATAGATGAAAGCCTGAAGAACAGTTGCGTTAAATTTCATCCCCAAGATTATAAAAGAATAAAATCTCAAATTAAAGTTCTAATGCAACTGAAACTAGTGAATTAATAACCGAGTTCTATATGATATAAGATTCAGTCAAAGCCCTTCTAGGTTTCTATCCTGTACATGAAAACCGAATAAATGCTTTCTTTAAAGACAGACCTATGATGACCAGAGGCCTGTGCTCAATGGGGAAATAAATGACAAATCTAGTTCCTCAAGGATAATATTTCTGAGGGAAGAAGAAGGGAAAAAAAAAAAAAAAAAAAAAAAGAATCAATTAATCCATTCTGCAGGGTATTTAATTTTACAAATACTTGCTTAAAGGTTTGCATTTAAGTTTACATGCAATAGCAAACTTTTCACTATGGAGAAAAATGAACAGAACATACCAGAGAGAAAATCACTTAATTATTAGTTTCGATTAGTGACACTGAGTATTTCTGAAAAAGAAGCTAATAGGCAGATTTTTAAAGTTTCCAAAACAGATTAGGAAAGAGCATAGTTTCATGCATGAATTCCTACATCACTGTAATGCACACAATACAAAATATAGAATGGAATGCAATATCCTGATGCTTTATAACCTCAAATTAACCATTCTGAATTGTTAGAGTTTTAACCTTTAATGCTGTTAACAGTGCCATCAGAATCATGTTCTTTATGCAGAACAGTTACATAATACAGAATTCATCCACTCAGTGCTATTTTTTTATATTATATATACAAACCTGAGATTTACCATAGACACAGGTAGTTAACAGTCTTAATGATGCACTGTTAGTCCTTCAATCAGTCACAGAGCTAAGAAATTCTCAGCTTGGTAAAAGAAATTTACTGAATTGTATTGACATGAACAACTGGATAATTTGGATATTTACAACATTAGCGTTCACATGATTAACTGTTAAAGCTACAAAAGTTACTTTTGGCAGGTAGTTTGCAGGTGTCTTTTCTGTTCCTGTACTTTGGTATTCTTTATGTTCAGCCTAAAATTACATCACTGACCTTATCCAAAAAGTGCAGTATTGCTTTTTGTTGATTCTCCTCATCTGCATTTAGTTTGTGTCTCCCAATGGAAGCAATCATCTGTGCCTCTTGTTCCAGAAGTCCACAAAATGCTGCTTTTCTTTCAGCTCCAGTAAGAGTTCTGTTAATCCGTTCAGTCTCCTCCTGCCTCCATACTACAGATACAAATATTTGGGTATTTTTTTACAAGATGTTTTCCAGTGAAACTTCTATTTTCATATTTAAGAAATAACATAATTAATTTTCAATATTCATTACAAGCCAGTTTCTATGTTAAGGAATTGATTGTTATGCATATTTTCAATACATGCAAAATGGCCCAGAAATTAATTTAAATTATACAGATGTTCTGTGAGAGTATGTGTGTGTACATCAATTTCAAACTGCCAATTTGTACTCCAAACTCAAAGATGGTTTAGGAGAAAAAGGAGTTCTATGTGAGAAAAAGAATTTAGCTTCTGTGGAAACGTGTGATGAAATGATTTCTTCACGATTTTGCATCTAAAATAACTGTTTGAGACTCAAACGGCTCCAAAAGGTATGAGCAATAGGAACTTTTTAAACAATTGCTCATCAAAGTCACAAGAAAAGATACCACGGAGATCTTCTCAACAGATTAAAGAGAGCATCTTACTGTGGTACCACTAGTACTCAGTGCTGAGAATATTACTGCTTCTCCCTGCATAAGTGAGTAAAATCTGAAGAAGCTTGAAGCCCTCCAAAACCAAGATAAAACTTGACTGACAGTCACGTTTAGCACTCCAGGTCTCATACTGAATATTTGAGTGGTGTCATCTTCTGCCATCTAAGGCAGATGCATGCGCATTAATAATTAGACAGTCATTGCTTTACTCTCCCTTTCCTATTCTACAACAGAACCCTTCAAGTGGAAGTGGCATGCAAACCACCAGATAATAATGCCAGCAGCACGTGAATCAGCACACATTGTATAAGAATCTGGCTTTCTGACTCTTAGGCTCAAATCACCAAACCACAGGTACCTGCTGCATGTACAAGTTAAACTACTTAATGACAGAAATACACAGATGTATACATATGCGTCTGTCGTGGTTTATTTTGTAGTACCCATTTTTTGGCTTAAGTGCTGATACACAGACTATATGCCCTTACAGAAATCTGTTAGTAAAATCAAATTGTGTTTACTGAATAGTGTTTTCCTTTGCATGCATTGTAACAATTCTTGGCTTTTCTGAAGAGTCTGTTCCATTTTAAATACATCTGGGGTTTTGTAGGGAATTTTATAAGATCTAACACTTCAACATTCCTGAATAACATCTCAAAGTGTTGTTATTGTTCGAGAACAGTTATGCAACAGCAAAACCCAACGTAAAGAAAACAACCCAATAAGTGATGCACACTTACTGAAAAAAACCTATAACATCCTGTATCAGGTAAGATTAGAGGCAGGAGGAGGGAAAGGAGGAAGGTTTATTTTCTGCCTGTGGCTTCCTTATCTACAATACCTTATGTTTTCCATTTAAAAATATTTCAATTCATTTCCTTAAGACTCTCCAAGCCTTGGTATTAATATGACAGCTGTCTGACAAGTTCTGAGTACCCAAAGATATATTTTTAAACAAAGCCATTTGAGCAAACAAAAGCACTGTATAGAATTAATTTACATGAAGCTTTATTTGCCTGAAGGGGGCAGCAACTTCAAAGGTAGAGCTAATAACTACAGTAAGCAATTTTTTACTTACAGCAATGAAGAAACTGTCAGTTATCATCAATACTCACCTCCTGATTCACCATATACATGCAATCAAGTTAAAAACATTCCTCTTAGATTATCTGTTCTACAGACAGAAATTTTACTCATTGTCATTTTTATTCCAGTTTTTATAAAATGAAGTCGTTCGTGCTGTTCAAATAAACAATCCATATTTCTATATGCAGACACACTGCATCTATAGATACATCTCATTTGCACCATACAGCCAATAGGGGAAGTTTCTGCACGAAGAGGAACTGCTTGTGCTGGCTGACCCTGTAACAGTATCCCCCTATGGTGATCAGCAGCAATAACCTTCACAGATCTCTAGAGGACAATAGTCTCATTCTATTACTGTCACAATGATTTAGCTTGTGTAGACTGTTGACACTACAAGAATGTAAAAGTAGTTTCAGATGCAGGTGAAAAAAAAAAGCAACTTCCTAGAACCACTAAGCTCTTAAAATAAAGAGCGTGACTGCAAGTCTCCATGTAGAGAAGCAACTAGTCAACACTGGTAAACAAAAACAAACCAGAAAGATTGATACCAGACCATTATTTTTAACAAAATGTTAAAAAGACATTTCAAATACTGGAGTTTGTTCTGTTCCAGTTTCCAAGTGCTTTTTCAGGTTGCCTAGATATTAAATTCCCAAACATGGAAAGCTGGAAGTTTTATTATTTGTGAATCCAATGGCATTAAATTAAGCAAGAGACACTTATATAACCATAAATTTTAAATCTAAAAATATTGGGAATATCAGCACTCATTCACAACTTTAACTCAGCTTTGTTGTTTCTATTGCAAATAAGACTCATCACACTTTAAAAGAAAAAGTGGATCATAGATTTGATAGCACATTAGCTAGGAAGCAGGTTTTTAAAGAAAATATTGCAGGAAATCAGCTACCAAATAGTAGCACTTGCCATAAATGGAGGAAAAACAATGATTATTTGAGTGCCTTGGCTTTGGATTACCTAGTCAGACACACCTTTAATAGGGCTTGATTCTTGTGAAGTGAAAAGCTAACTATCTGTGAAGAAAAAGAGGGGCAGGGGAAACAACCCCTAACAAACCGCAAATGTCATGAAGATACCGTTCCTGAAATTCTGAAGTTTAAGACCAGTAATAATTTTTACGTTTGTCACAAACAGTAATATTTATAAGTCATTTATACAGTCAGACAAAATGATTTGTTCAATGTCACACAAAGTATGACAGTATTAAAAGATTAGCGTATAACTTGGGAATTCTTGAATCATGATCCTAAGCTCTATGAATAACACACGCCACTAAATTTATGCTCAGTTTACCATGGATGAAATAGCTGGGTTGGTTTAAGGTAGGTCAGGTGGCTTTGTAATGAAGCAGGTAATCCACTAGGCCAGTTCTGCTATAGGGACAGTAATGTCCAAACTGACAAAGAGCCATACCATAAGCAAGCATTGTAGCCTTAGATAACATGGGAGCTGTTACAAGTCACAAGGTGAGCATCTTGCTTAAAAGGAGACATTTTAAAAAGAACTCTTGCAGTTACAAGTCCACTGCTTTCTATTGTTTTTGTTTTTCCAAAAGGACATACTCTAGGTTTTTTGTTACATTTGCAACATTATTCTCCTGTAAGTTATGTCAATTATCTGCAGTATTAACCTTATTTTTCCAGGAAAGTTTAGAGGTGCTTGCCTATATCAGACACCATCCACTCCAACAGGAAAAGTAAGTCTTTCAGGATGCCCTGTAGGACTCCTAACAGACTTTTATAATTTTGACAACACAGTTTTGTGAAACATGGAATAAATTCGAAAGGAGAAAAAGCAGAAGGAGAAGACAAGTAGGACAAAAGGAATAACCTCAATCATATATTGAAAAATTCTGGGCAAAAATTTAAGCCATGATAAAAAACACCTATATTAAATGACGAATGATACATCTTAATAGTAATTTCTTCATGGTATTATTTTCAGCATCCTAAATGTAGAGTAAAAAGATTAAAGTAACTCTGATAAAAAAAACCAAAACAGTGCCTGTTCCTCTAGCTGACCTTAACACTAGAGATGAAAAAAAAAACCAAAACCAACCAACCAGCCAACCGCCAAATAGCATTATTCTACAAGCCGATCATTTCCTAAAAAGGTGTGCTGGTTTTGGCTGGGATAGAGTTAATTTTCTTTGTAGTAGCTTGTATGGTCCTATGTTTTGGATTTGTGATGAGAACAGTGTTGATAACATACAGATGTTTTAGTTATTGCTAAACAGTGCTTACAGAGCGTCAAGGCTTTTTCTGCTTCTAGAAATATATGAAAGTCAAATAATTCTTTAAAAATCAAAGAAATTCCACTGTAAGACAAAAAAAAAAGGGGGGGAAGTAGCTACAGAAACATGTAAAAACCAACAACTTTTTTGTTGATTTAAGAGTATCCCTTTAAGGGAAAACTTACACTTTAAAGCATGGTACAGTAGCTCAAAGTCTTCTTTTGTTTTAGGGTTCAGTCTTCGTTCGTGCTCCCTTCTCAGTTTTTCTTCTTTCTCTTTTTTTTTCTGTAACTCTTGTTGTGCCTCCCATGCCAGCCTTAACCTCTTTTCTTCCCTCAGATTTTGTACTACATTTATAGCATGCCAACGACGGAAATATGTCTGTAATACTATTACCTGTATGTGATACAATACCAAAGAATTGTGAATTTAAAACAATACAGCATAATATTTTTTTCTTAACTGTTATTTTTTCTAGCTACCTCGCTACATTTCCTAAGATTTGTCTTGTACTCAAACTAATTTAAATGTTACAAAACCAGTCATGTACTATTAGTCTAAACACTAGTATGCTTACTTATGTAGGTAACTGCAGGAGTTTAATCAGTGAGTACGATGGAGAAACTACGTTCAAATAATCAAGTTGAAGTATAAACTGCAATTACAAAATCTATTTTTCTGTTTTCAAATCTCTCCTTAAAAAACACATTTTGCCATGTATTGTTTGTATTCTTTTCAGCTTTGTGGGTAGAGGTCCTCATTTTACTATCCATTTATACAGTGTCTAGATTGGGAATTCAGACACATATTTGCAAAATTTCTTTTAAATTTCTAAATACAAAAATCAACACACATACACACAAAATCAACGGCACTTTGTTTGTAAACAAATGATGAAAGTGAAATTACCAATGCTGTTATGACAGAACTTAAAAAAGAAAATTAAAAAATCCAAAGCTGTGGCCATTAAAGACTAGGGAAATGTCTATGCTAAGCTACGGGAGCACAACACACAAGCCTGAGCTTCTGCCAGCTGAGTTAGCACTTGCACCACAAGCAGTTTAGCCAGGTCAATACCATAAGCTAATAAGCGTTGTTCTGCATTGAAGGCTATCAAGCACAAAACTGCATTAATACAGTTACACGGTCTCTAGAGATATCTTAACCTAACATTTCTCTTGAATATGTCTTCAGCTAGTATTTCAATATGGAACTACACTGCACTGTGCGAATCCATCAACTTGAACCAACATCAAGCTGATGTCTCTCTATTGTGCGTTATAGATTACCTACAGATACATCACAGATCTCAGTAAGTGGCAGCAATGATCAGAGTAAAACATATCGGCAGCACTGAGGAAACAGCTACCTATTAGGGTTCCACTTCTACAAAACGCTTATTGCCATCAGCTGATGCTGACCAAATAAGTTCTTACAGAAAACTTCTACCCAGAAGATTTCAAAGCATCTTGCCAAACGTCAATACAATTATCCTACTTGGACATGTGGGGAACCAACTGTTTCTCCATTTAGTTAGATTCAGACTGTCTTTTTTAAGCAATCAAATTTATAACTAGACCATTTACAAAGCAGTGCCCCACCTAACATGACATTGGGTGTACTTAAGTTAGGTGTGCAGTCACTGAATATGTGGTTTTCAAAAAGCAACTTGGAATGCCTAAATGGCATCCTCTGCACAATGACTATACAGAATCTGTCATCAGAATCGCCTGCATGAGGCGACTCAACGCACCAAAAAGCTCCACAGGCCCATTGCATGTGTTTGAACAGCCAGGTTCTGCCTTAATGCCAAAGCAGGAGCTTGAACACAACCCAAAACAGAACAGTATGCCAAAGGTAACCTGTCAGGCCTGTTAAGACAAATAAACAAACCCGAAAACCACTCATAAGCTGAATGCAGGTCTCCTAAATCCTACCCCAATATTCTATCCATCTGAGGCCATACATTAAGCATGTAGACTCACAGAATCATAGAATGATTTGGGTTGGAAGGGACCTTTAAAGGTCATCTAGTCCAACCTCCCTGCAGTTGGCAGGGACATCTTCAACTCGATCAGGTTGCTCAGAGCCCCATCCAGCCTGGCCTTGAATGTTTCCAAGGATGGGGCATCTACCACATCTCTGGGCAACCTGTTCCAGTGTTTCACCACTCTCAGCGTAAAAAATTTCTTCCTTATACCCAGTCTGTAGCTTAGATCCTTCTAAAGAGATCATGAGAATGCCATAGGGACAAGCCTATTTTAATCCCTAATGCTCTGTATGGAAGCTTAACTGCCACTGTAAGACAGAAACCAGTAAAATCACAATTCTTAATATTTAAGAAACCACAAGGTCTCAAATGTCATTAAAAACACTAATACTGTAAATGAGCAGACACACACTTCCTCCATATCTGAAAGATTACAAAATGTAAAGATTAAGCAGACATTTTGCAGTTCACTGTTAAATTCACTCTTTGAAGACTCTGAACACTCATAACCTTCGTAATACTTTGCTTTACAGATACAGTTTCAAACAGATCAGAACTTACTGCTTCAAGTCTTCGTTTATGGTATTCTTCCGCTGTAAGATACTTGCCAGGACTTACTAGTTTGTCAGTCCTGTTTGACACATACAGGCCAATTTTAGTCATCTGTGTTGATGTTGTATTTTTTGTTTGTTGTGGCTTATTTTTTTCAAAAACAGTCTGGGGAAAAAAATGCATGTCAGATTATAACAAAATGTACAGAGATTTTTTTCCCTTATTACAATAAGTGGCAAAATTAGCTATTTATAATAAAAATCACAAGACTAATGTTATTCACCCACTAAATACTTTCAATTGCACACTTATTTTTGATCTACTTCCTCATTCCTATTGGAAATAATTGTGTCAACATTCTATTCTGTTTGGCAAAAACAACATTCCAAAAAGACACTACAAAGCCATTACCTGTG